ACAGGGAAATAGGTGATAATTATAGGTACACAGGGAAATAGGTGATAATTATAGGTATACAGCAAGGACTTTCGTCAGTGGGACTTTCTGTGCCTGTATGTTATTATCTTGTCGAGGTCATTTGTTTTCTGAATCTTCAATAAATACTGCTGCCTGAGTTCGCTCAGAGCTGGCATTTGCTCAGACGTTTCCCTGCGTCTCATTTCAAGTGCCAGACCACCACACTAACTTCCAACTAATAAATAACGATAAAGGAAGAATTTTTCCTCAGAAGAGCTTTACAAATAATCATAATTCTATGACATATAAATTAAGGCAAAATAATGTTCCAATTGTATTATAATTTGTTTTTCATGGGGCTTCAAAAATCACTGGCAGAAATATCTATGGCCCTTCTGGAAATTCATACCATTTTTTATAAAAGCAATATATTTAAATTTTGAATGCTATGAAAGCTGTGAGACGCAACTGTGCAAAATAAAAAAATAGAGAATAGTAATCTGATTTTGCGGTTTTTTTGGCTTGGAATGCATCTGCATCCACAGATACACATAAACATTAAAACTCTGAGCCAATTATCAAAGCTTTGATGGCTGTTGGCAATATCCGTGCCCCACACAAGCACAGCTAAAAAACGATGGGAACTACTCCTTGGTGGTACATCTGTATCTATCAAGGCAGTCATAACTATCTTCAACACTGCAGTAAAAAAAGAAATGATTATCAAAACAACCAGGCAGTTCCAAAAGTATCTCAGTGTTTGAAAATTTACAAAAAAAAAAGACCAAAAAAAGAAAAGGCATCAGAAGAAACTTTTTTAAGTAAAACTTTAGATTAATCCAAGGACACAAAAATTGTTTTGGAATTGTTAACTATAAATAAAAATATATTTGCAGCTGTGGCATTAACAAACAGGAAGGAAGGCAAGAAGAAAATATGTTTGAACTCATTTAACAGACATCCAAATGCTATCTTCCTAAGAAAATTGCCAATTTTAAAATTGCTTATTTTAAAACTTCAACTGCAACCTTACCACAATAGGCAAACTTTCAACAAAAGAACTTCTCTAATTTAAGCTATTAAGGATGTGTGTAGCAACCTATTTAGGGCCCTCTATATCCTTACTTACATTTGAAGCTGAAGGAAAAGTGAGGAAAAATGTATTTTCCCCCCAAGTCTCAATCTTAACCATTCCACTAATTTCCACTACATGAAATCTGTAGATATACCCCAGAGTGTTTCTGCAACCATTTACAAGTAATCCTTAACAATGCTAACTGGGACCAGAATTTCAGTTATTAAGCAATGTGGTTACAAAGCATGATACAATATGACCATATCACTAAGCGATGATGCTCCTGGCAATCCCCACCTTGGTCCTTAAATGAATCCCACCCAGGTATTAGGTGAAGATCTACCCCAATCCAAACCATTCCTGGCTCGGTTTGCCCCAGCCCCAACTCTCCCATTTAATTACCATCTCTGCCCTTTTGGTGGGCCTGCATTTCATCACTTCTGCCACCCTGCACTGTGCTGCCCTCCACCCAAGTGGTCATGTGGAGCCCATCTGGCCTTCGCCATCTTCTTCCCTCCACATTGTTGACAATGTCTCTGGCCTTTCACAAGGCAGCTGCTGGTCAGCTTCCAGAAGCCATGCCATCCCTTGTCCAAGGCAGACAGAGAAGTCATGGAGTTTAGGGTAGCCAAAAGGTCAGAGAGGAGGGGGTGGGGAAAGCAGGAAGACAAGTTGAAGTGCCCATGTGGTTGTAAATGTAGGTCGACTGCCAAGTACCTGAATTTTGATTATATGGCTGTGGCCCTGCTGTAATGGACTGTCAGAAGTACCATTAATTTGGCATTGTCATAATTTCATATAGAACAATCCATATTAGGTTCCATTTTCTAGAATGTTACTGCTGGAAACAATATTCAGAAACAATGCAAAACAGTGTGTGTGTGTGTGATTTTTTTTTTCAGCAATGGAATGCTTCCATACCTACCATTTAATTGTATACTTGAGGTTGGGCTGACTGACTGTACTGTCATCCAGAAAAATAGTAGAACAGGAACTGTATTTCCTTTTCAATTGACCAGGAGGATGCTAGGAAAAAAAAAAGCATACAAAAAACCACAGTACCAGTAATGTGATGCCAACGTCATTCCTTCCTAGAAGATATTAATGCAATAAATAGCTTCTCTAGGTCTCTAGCAGATGCCTGGATACATTCAAGTCAACATAGCCTGGCAAAAGTCAGAGATAATTACACAGTAGTCACACTTTCTCTGCTTTTTGTTCAGATGAAAAGATTATTCACAATATATCAGTCTATTCTTCAAAGTGAAATAGTTAGATGGAGCACCTACATATGAAAGAAACAAGATGTACGTTCTTACATAATGGAGGATTCTTAATGGAAGATAAAACAGAAAATATATACCGTATGCTTGCATTTAGCTGATGAGAATCTGGAATTAATGCCTTTTATTTTAACAGTGTAACACAGGCTTCTGCCATCAGATTAAAAAAAAAAGGGAGACAGGAAGCCTTCATAATTTTTTCCCATCAACGTGATGCTAACTTAACAGTATTCATTTTTGTATATCCTACATTCAGAAGGTGAAAAAGATGTCATTGCATAGAAATATTCTGAACAATTTGGCTTCCCCTCTTTCTTACTTAAAATTATAATGATAAAAGATAGGAACAATAAGGGACATTATGACTTAAGTTCACACAACACTAGGGTAATTTGAGGCTTAGCATGTTGCGTGTATACTGAGTCATTGTGGTCTATAAACTATGGATTAATGACTTACTAAGTTGTGCAATTTAACCAAGTATGACTTACCCAATAAGGTATGCTTAAGTCAACTTTATTGAGATGTGCCATCTTAACCATTATATGAAATGCTGCCCATTACTCTTTTTTAGATAGTAAAACTTTTCCAATCACATAATCATAGGGAAGGTGTTTTACTTCAACCCTACCTAAGGCAGGCATTCTTTAACCACAGCATGCAATCTGCTGCTGTACAGCATTTACTTGGAAACATCCAGTGACTCTTAAGAGATAGGATTAATAATTTTCAGGTCCAATAAATTCCTTTTTATTTCATGTTTAGAACTTTCTCTTTTGGCAGCTGCAGCATACTGCTGACTCATGCTTAATTTGCACAACATACCTGGTGCCATGAGATTGGAGAAAGATGGTGTAGATTTGCTATTCAATTGATTTCATGAGACACTATGCAACGTCATCAAACTTCAGCTTGCTTTTCTCCCTCTTCTAAAAATTGTTAAGAGTTAAAGAAATCTGGAATATTGCTACAAGTAGTCTTCAATTTACAACAGTTCATTTAGTGACTGTTCAAAGTTACAGCGGCTCTGAAAAAAGTCACCAGTATGTGAAGAACTATAGTGGACTTCTATGGGTTGAATAATATTGTTCCTGATAGCTAGGCATAGGATTCCAATCTCATTCAATTGCAGTTCTTGCCAAAAATTATGGCTAACTTCATTGAATTTAGTATGGAAATATTAATCTAACCCAAAGTTTATAAGAACAGTACTCTAATCTAACATCATCCCAAAACCACATCTATGGAACCAACAAAAGCTGTTTTTTCATTGGTTCTTGTAAATAAGATTTCATGGGACAGAGAAAACACAATAAGTTTCCTAAATTTTCTGTAATGATCAGATCTTGACTGATAAGGATTTAGAACAGGATGTCAAACACCCATCATCATGGCATCGTCACATGACATATTGCAACTTTTTCCCTCTTCGCTAAACCAAGTGTGGGCATGGCCAGCACGTGACGCATCCAGCCCGCAGGCCACAAATTTGACACCATTGATTTAGAAGATGGTTATGGGTACACCTTCCTGAGGACATATTATGTAAAGACCTAGTTGTCTAGAAAGACTCTGAGCTTTGGAAGGATGGTAGGAAAGAGAACAAGAGGAAGAACAGTAGCAAGCTGATACAGACTCGGTGGTATATAATTCATCCATCTATCAGCAAGAATTGGGTATGTCTAGTTTAACGAAAAGAAGAACTAGGGGTGATATGACAACAGTCTTCCAATATCTAAGGGTCTGCCACAAAGAAGAGAGAGTCAAGCTAATCTCCAAAGCATCAGAAGGCAGGAGTAGAAGCAATGAATGGAATTTAATCAAGGACAGAATCAACCTAGAACTAAGGAGAAATTTCTTGACAGTTAATCAATGGAGTGACAGAAATTGTGGGTGCTTCAACGCTGGAGGTTTTTCAGAAGAGATCAGAAACGATTTGTCTGAAGCAGTACAGGTTCTCCTGTTTAATCAGGGGGGTTGGCTAAAAGGCCTCCAAGAAGCCTTCCAACTCTGTTATTCTGTTCTGTTCACCCAGTTGCAAATCCCAAAGATACTTTTTCCAAAAGGCAACTGGATTTTCTTGTGGGTTTTTCCCTTCTCATTCAAAAAAAAAAAACTTCTTCAGTTGTCTTGGATGAGAAGCAAAATGTTTTCAAAGGAAAAAGAAAACCAAGAAAATCCAGTTGCCTTTTGGAAAAAGCACCTTTGGGACTACCATGACCTGGATGATTGAGAATCTCCATAGATACCCAGCTGCAAGCTGTTCTGTTTTCAGTGGAAAAAAAAACTGCATCTGACTGGATTTCAGGAAGTCTCTTAGAAAAAAACAAAGTCTCCAGTGTAATGAATCAGAGGATAAATTCATTTCACATGGGAAATAGTTCAGCTGTTAAAATGCTGGTAACCTCTTCCTTTTGATCTCCATAAATCTTGCTTAAAAATGTGAGAACGTTACTTGAAAAGAGTATGGTTAAAATAAACTGCCAAAAGACCTACAGCTATGAATGAATCAAAATATGGGAAATGGAATCAAAGGAATGGGAAATTATTTCGTGTGGTCTTCAGGAGGAATGTTATATTCGCCTTAGAGGAGTAGTTTCTCCTCCCAAACTTTATATTTTAACACAGTTTAGGAAACACTGGCTTAAAGTAAAATTAAGGCCTGTATAGAACATTTTACAAAATAATGACAGTATTCCATCACTTGCACAATAGGACTTTTCCCCCAATACATCTAAATGGTGCCAAAATTTGAGCACCTGTTATGCTTTAACTCATTTTCTTTTAAAAGCGTTAAGTTGCATTTGAAAGAACAAGAAAAAGCAGGATTGGAATTGTAGCAGCAAAACCAGTTTGCTTTGTCTACAACAGACTGCTAAAAGAAATGCATCACCTGGAGCTCTTAAGCCACGTGTGGGCCTTTGACCATGTAGAAACCAAAAAGGAATAGATACTTTCTTGTTATTTACAGCTGAAATTATTTTCACTGTAAACCTTAATACAAGCTTAAAAATAACAACCCTAAAATCCAAAAATAATACCGGTTCTCTTCATGTATGTGGACCCATCTCATTCATTTTGAATCATGTCTTGTGGACATTTTGCTTAAACTTTCATGAGAAATTATGGATCTTAAAGTCTTAAATTGACTGCAATTTGATTTGATTTCTATCCTGCCGTTCTTCTAGCAGGCTAAAGTCTCATACTTAACACACACCCCTGGCAGTTTTCCTAAGAACTGCAACCTGGGAAGTTACTGAAAGAGAGTGGTTGACCCCCAAATCATCTAGTTATTTTCCAGGGCTGAAGCTGGACTTGAACCTGCGTCTCCCAATTCTGACCCCCAAACTGAGAAATTATAGGGAAATAATATAAGGAGAACCATGCAATGCTTATTTAAAATCAAATTATTTCAGACTCCAACTCTCAGAATTGTATTGCCTTGATCACGTGGCACAACCAACTTTGGCCAGCTGTTATGTGTTATTGAAGTTCAATGGTGTCAGCAATCAAATCTCCCTATCCGATGTTCTTGAGATTGTTCTGGGGAGAATCATGCAAGCCATTAATTTGGAAGGTCAACATGCAACAGCTCCATATTAGAAAAGGATAAAGAATGATTATCTGCCATGGCAATGAAGGTCTTACTCAGGGCCAACTCAAGAAGATCCAAAATTCAACATTTCATTACCTTGACTATGAGCATGCTGACGGTTGGCCAGCTGTCATGTGCTATTGAAATTCAATTGTATTGGCAAAACAAATCTTCCTATCTGATTTTCCTGAGATAGTTTGGGGATGATGACGCAAGCCATTAATGTCAAACCTGAAACCATTTTGGAGCATTCAGTGCTTCTATAGCAAGGCTGGTTGCAGCTGTGGAAATGGAAGAGGGGGAGTAGGGATAACTGGGGACTTGTAGCCAAAATAAAATTCTTTCTCCTAGGAACAAGGACGTTCTTATCAGGTGCGGGGGAGGCATAGACTGAAACCAATTGGAGTTGTGACTGCGATTGGTTGGATCAAGTGATGGATGTGTGGACTGGGGGGGAGGGGAAAGACCTTTACTTTTTAATTTGGGTGGGGAAAACCTCTGGACCTTCAGAGTCAGGTTTTCACCAGATGTGCTAATTTGACATGTCTAATAAATTTGGATTTAGAGGAGCACCTTGGCCTCTGAGTTTTGATTGCGTTGGGCCTTTTACTTGGAACCCTGACAGTTAACTTGGAAGGTCAACATGCAACAGTTCCATAAAAGAAGGATTAAGAATGGTTAGCCATCATGGCAATGAAGGACTTACTCAGGGCCATCTCAAGAAGATTCAAACTTCAGGATATCGTTACCTTGACCATGCAGCATGACCAGCTTTGTCCAGCTGCTGTCTGCAGTGTCAGCAAAACAAATCTCTCCATCCGGTTTCCTTGAGATTGTTTTGGGGACGATGCATCATGCAAGCTCTTATTTTGGAAGTCAACACGCAACATTTCCATATTAGGAGTGGATCATAAATGGTTAGCTGCCATGGAAATGAAGGCTTTACTGAAGCCAACCCAAGAAGATCCACATATCGAGATTTCATTACCTTGATCAAGCAGGAAGGGAGGGAGGGAGGAACCAGCTGTGGCCAGCTGTTGTGTACTATCTAAGTTCAATAGCATCAGCAAAATTAATTTTTCTATCCAGTTTTTCTGAGATTATTTTGGGGCATCACAAGCTGATTATTTTGCAAAAAACATGCAAATAGTCCATATTAGGAAAAGATCAGGAATGGTTAACTGCCATGGCAATGAAGGCCAGACTCAAAGCCAATCCAAGAAACCAAAGAAACTCAATACTTCTGATAGAAAGATCTTAGGGATTGACATAAGTTTGTTACCATGTTGGGATTTTAATTGACATTTGGAATGTGTAAGTAGCTTAGTTGTGGACATCCAGATCCTGAATATCCTTATACTGGATATAGACCTATATTTGTTCCTTCATAGTCTGATCATCAACAGGCAAAACAAATACAACCCCCCCACCAGTAACAGAATAATTAAGTATTAGAGTGAATTCAACAATCACAGACATAAATACAGAAGGGGGGGTGGAGGGAGAGACACAGAACCATGTAATTTTTGAAAGTATTTAAAATGTGATCTGAAATGTACAGAGCATTGTAACAAACTTATGTCTGTTAGCCCCAGAATTTTGAATGCATTAATGTCTCTTTTTCAGGCATCGAATACCATACAAATTATGCTACACTGAATTCTTGGTTGATATTTTGACAAGTAAAGTGTTTAACTCCATATTATTTAACTGACCTAATCTATGTAATTGTTTCGTATGTCATTTGAATAATTATATACATGATTTATATAACATTGATGATGTAAAAAAACTAATTATATAATGAAAGAGATAACATTAAATTTCAAATCATTTTGGAAGGAACAAGCTTTGTCTTCTGTTTGCATATGAAGACTTAACTATAATTTAGTTCATTTTATTCAAAGTCTACATATGATGGAGGTGTGGAGATCAACAGGATTACTGTATATTTTAGACATGCTATGTAATTTTTTTTTACTTACATGGTTTATGTAGAGGCTCTTCCGTTTTTCTCTCACTGTAAAAACATAACATGTATGAAAGTTATATGAGGTAAATTAATTTTTGTACTATCTATTGTTAAAAAAGTTATGACCTTTGTAAAAATTGATAACCAAAGAAGAATTTTCTAACTTTATGTTCATATTCACTTTTACAGAATGAATACATAATTGGGATGTGTAAATTTTAAAAACTTATATTAACATGCTACTTTATAAAGGAAATGATTCTAATTTCATGATTCAGTTTTTTAATTTCATTGAAACATTCAAGGACAAAAACATTTTGATACCCTCAAACAGCAGAAAGGCATGAATCATTATTTCAGGTTTAAGTTAAATATATATATATATATAGTATACTAGATATTATATATATAGTGTATATACTATACTATATAGGATATATAGTATATAGAACTTCGTTTTGATTTTATATGTTTCCATCAGACTAACTTAAAATGCTACTGTGTATAGAACTTGATCTTGATTTTAAACAACATTGTCTTATTTCAGATACAAAATTTAAGTATCAAAACTTTTTAGATGAAGAGCTTTCGATATCAAATAAAGCATAAATTCCATCCATGTTACTTTAGGCACCCAGTTACAATAGTATTTCATTCTTCCACCCTCTTTGTCTTTCAACTGATTTGTAGTTTTGGAATGCTACCAGGGCATTCAATGCTAATGGAAGAATATCACATTACCCATTTTTCTGAGTTTTTGCATACGTATGAGTTCCCTTTGCACCAAAATCCTCAGACAAATCTCACTTCTCATTGCTCACATTCTACACTGCCTTTAGAAAACTAACAAACCAACTGTCCTTTCCTAAAAATTTGTGTAGTACCCCTACATGTGTCCAGGTTACATTGAACTACATATTGAGAAGCATCCAAAGGTGGATTCAAAGAATAATAATTCTGGGAGTTAGACTCCCAAGAATAGGAAATATTTCTGTTCTTTGTGGAATTGAATTCCCCAAAATTCAAATTTTGCAGTTCCAGAACCTCCTATCTTTGATATTGAAACTGGATAGCCATATAGCATCTGTGGCAACGTTTCAGTATGAGATAAATCAAATTCATTCTTATGTGGAAGAGAGAGACCTGGTTTTAATGTGTTATAAAATAGTAATGCCAAGGACAATTGAGCTCCATTATCATAGTGCAGTTTTTAAAATATAATCTTGAAATCTGGTTTACAGTGATGATGATATAGTGAATTCTCCTGGGGGGTCCTACATTACCTTGTGTTGAAACATCTTTATTGTTTTCTAATAAATTTCCAAGTCTAAATTAAATTGTTAACTATGGAGCATAAAGCTACTAAAGGAGTTTATAACGTATTATACAGGATGGTGAGTCTCCAACCTAACAATTCTTAACTTCTGAATGCTCCGAATGGATTATGTACATGTTAATTCACAGATCACTACTCAAAGTGCTACTGTTCCAGATAAGGACAAGTAGTTTTCATGTAGTGACCAGTAACCATGTCATTAAGCAAAACAGTCTCTAAGTGGGAAATCATGTGACTGCAACCGTACTTTCCTTTTCTCCAATCCCACACTTTTTGGAATAATCATCCTGACTCTGGAATAGCTGCTAGACTAATCAGTTTCACACCTTCAGCTGGTTTCCCTCCTAATCACTCTCCTGCTGTTTGAATGCTCCCTCTGATCCTGGAATAATTAGCAAAAAGGAAATTAATTCACTGAAGGAAGGGATTACAGGCATACAATAGGGAAAACATATCAGGAATATAGTAGCACCATCCGCCCGCAGCTTCAGCCATATGCAAATAGGCCAGTGAATTCCTCATTGCATGCCTGATTACTCTTTTATAATCCCTTTCTCTCCAATCTGTTCACTCTGCAGGGACAGAGGAATGGGTTAGTAGGAGAGATTGCCTATAACATTTTTTCTCCTCCCTCCTCCCCACTTGTGTAAGCAATCTTTCTGTTTAGGGCATATTCCTTTCAATCTGTATTTCCTATTGCATGCCTGCTTGCTGTCTTGTAATGCTTCCCTCTCCAATCTCTGTGCTCTTCAAAAAAAAAAGGGGGGGGGAATAAGGGAAAAAAAATGGGTATCAATTGCAATGGCAAACATATGATTGAGGTACCAATGAGGACATGAAAGGAGCCCCCAACTAGGCTTCCACTGGGCAGTGGTGATGTCGCCGATTAATCTTTTCAACCTGAAAGGTCTCAGTACTTCCAACATGATAACGATAACAGTACCAACTGTACAGGATAATGTATATCAAATTGTAATGCTCTGTGATTAAGGTTCATAAGTTGCAAAGTTCATAATGCGTACATTGGTCATAAAATCCCAAGGTGCTTTTTCAGGAGGCAACTGGACTTTCTGCTTTCTCTATGAAGGCATTTTGCTTCTCACCAAAGAAGCTTCTTCATCTCTTCAAAGAAAAATTAGAAAGTCCAGTTGCCTCTTGAAAAAGCACCTTTGGGACAACTATGACCTGGATAAGTGACAATCTCCATAGATATTAGTCATAAAACTCTTTTTTCAGCATGGTTGTAACTTCAAACGGTTCAGATGCTACCAAATTGTCTTATTCTCTTTTGCATCTTTTAGTGTCATTGTACCTATTCCCATTTGTTTCATTTAGATCAGAGCTGTCAAACTCATGGCCCGCGGGGCAGATGCATCATACTCCGGCCATGCCCATGCCCATTTAGCGAAGGGGAAAAAAGTGACGATACGCCACGTGATGACACCATGACAACATGAGTTTAAGACCCCTAATTTAGATAAACAAAAGTCCAAAAGTTCAAAGTACAGACCCCTGATTTAGATACTCAAAACTCCAAAAGTTCTTCAAGATTTTGAACAAAAAGTCTTTCTCTGTAATTGTCCCTTAATTCTTCAAATATAAAAATATCATTTATTATACCCAAAGAAGGTGCTACTTCCCTGTGCAAACACATGTAATGAAGATTTCTTAATATAAAAAAATGCTTACATGCCTTCAATAAATCCTAAAATACAAGAATAGCACAATAAACCAAGTTCTTTGTTAAAACCCACAATATTTGAACAGAACGTGATGTAAAAGAATGTGAGACAATAAATTAACATATAATTTTAATAAAGCAGTGATTAATAAACAAAGCCAGCTTGTTCTAATGATTAAAGCACCAGACTAAAAACCATGAGACTGTAAGTCTTGCCCTTAGGCATACAATCCAGCTGAGTGAGTTTGGGCAAGTGATTCTTTCTCAGCCTTAGGAAGAAGACAATGCCAAAGCACTTCTAAAAAACTTTTATTCAGGGTTTGTTAGGCAATCACTAGAAATAAGACATAAACACGCAATGAATTAGCACCATTACTAGAATTCTAGCAGCCCTAATAAAAATCAGAACTATTGCTCATTAAAAACCAATCTGTGTGCCATTCTGTTTGGTTAAACTCCCAACCCTATTGCTCAATACAATATTGGGTGTATCAAAAACATTTCCTTGAAGATATCCAAAAAGCTAACAAGAATTAACTCTTTTGTGTTGTCTTAAAAATAGATGACACTCTCTCTTTTCCTAGTTGACAGAGTGCAGATGGTTCTCAACTTACAACAGTTTAGTTGAATAATTTAGTGACTATTCAAAGTTACAATGGCACTGAAAAAAGTGACTTATGACCATTTTTCACATTTATGAAAATTGCAGCATCTCCATGATCAGGAGATCAATATTCAGACCCTTGGCAACTGATTCCTATTTATGACAGTTGCAATGTCCTGAGATTCTGGGATCCCCTTTTGTGATCTCCTGACAAGCAAAGTCAATGGGGAAGCCAGATTCACTTAACAACCATGTCAGTAACTTATCAACTGCAATGATTCACTTAACAACTGTGGTGAAAATGGTCATAAAATGGGGCAAAGTTCACTTAATTAATGAGTTGATTAATGACAACAGAAATTTTGGGTTCAATTGTAGTAGCAAGTCGAGGACCACCTGTATTAGCATAATTCTTAAGTTTCAAAAAAAATGAGGAAAAAGGCTCTGAATTTTCTCTACAGTAGCATGCAATGATTTGAAAAACCATATACTACTTAACAATTCATTGTGCATATTCAAGATGGCTATGTTGGAGCACATTAAGAATTGAGTTTCACAATTAAAGAGTAGTTTCGATTGTGTAGCATTCCTAATGTAGGAATTTAGCAGCCTGAAAGGAACAAAATATCAAGATTATATTCTACAGTATAATTCATTTCAATAAAAACTGAGAACTTATTTCCTTTGATGACACAGGAACACTATGGGACTATGAGACTGATCAAAATGTTGATTTCTAAATATTTCTTTCAAAGCTATTTCTGTTACTGCTACTATTACTACTTCATCTTCCATTGAATTAAGCTATGCATTTTTATCACTACTGTTGATAGTTATAACCTTCTGGAGTTTCATGAACAATTTAATATTTTCATAGTATACAAACTAATCTTGGCTAATCAGAAGTCATGCTGAGAGTGTAACAATATTATGACACTAGAATAATGAGGAGAGGGCGAGAGCAGTCAACACAATAATCTTTAAACAGGCATTGGAATACTCTGTTATCATAACTTCTAAGCTACGCTAATTCATTTGCTCGGACTGATATGAGCTTTCTTTCATCTCCACCTAGCATGAGAATAATTTTATAGACACAGAGCTCTATCTGCTGGCTATATAAGGCTGAACAAAGTAGTGATGCTATAGACCTTTTCTTCAAATAGAAATCTTCTGACCCCAAGTGGAGCAACTAAATATATAAACCACACCAGAGATATTCACAATGCAATAGTGACAATTCTTGCATCAGCACTGGAAATGTTGAAGGAAATGGTGGGCCTGTGGACCTCAGCAGTCCCCAGTATTTGACCACGGAAGCTGAAATCACCGTTGCCAATTTTATTTCTTGGTTTATTTATTGGGCTTTGCTGCCCAAATCACAAAGATGCTGAGCAGCATATAAAATTAATATAGTATTCATAGTA